TTCTCATCTTTCGAGATGGCTGAGATAATCTATTGGAACAGGTATGCTGGGACAACCGGTATATCAACTCACATTTAGTTCTCCTATCTGCCATCAGGCTGTGGCTGGTATACTCTGTATACTCTACTACTAAATCATCATATTCTGACTGTGTAAGTAGTAAAAGTAAAAACATAACAAATAGTAAACGTTCAATATGGAGCCAGTTACGCAGTCCGAATATGAATATGCAGTGAAAAACTTGAAACCTAAGAAGGCGTCTGGAAAAGATGGAATTCCACCCTATATACTGAAAGATGTGAGCGAGTGGTTAGAAACACCGCTGCTATATATCTTCAACTTGATCTAGAGAACGAACGAATTTCCGAATTTTTGGAAAACAGCTGTAGTTACTCCCATCTTCAAATCCGGAGATAAAAAAGATATCGAGAATTTCAGACCTATTTCTATAATGTCTGCACTTTCAAAATTATTTGAACAAATTGTATATACGAAAATTTATCGAGATGTTGAGAAAAGTATAGTTCCTCAACAACATGGTTTTGTTACCAAGAAATGTGTTAGTACAAACTTATTCAGCTTTGTGAGTACAGGATATGAAACACTTGAAAGCAAGTCACAACTCGATGTCATCTTTACTGATTTTAAAAAGGCTTTCGATAAAGTCGATCACGACGTACTATTAGCAAAATTGAGTGAGTTTGGTTTTTCTGAAGGCACACTCACAATGTTCGGAAGTTATCTTGAAAATAGATTCTTAGTAGTCAAGCATAATGGAAATACCTCAGGAAAATTTGAAGCTAATTCTGGAGTACCACAAGGTTCCAATTCAGGACCATTACTTTTTGTTATGTTCATCAATGACTTGCACTCAATTCTCAGGTACTCGAGTTGTTTACTATTTGCAGATGATCTGAAAATTTTGAAAAAAATTTACACTATTAGAGATTGTGTTATGTTGCAAAAAGACTTAGAATGTGTTTGTGAGTGGAGTCGTAAAATAAACTATCTTTCAATCCTAGAAAATGCAGTGTCATGAGGGTAACAAAGCTGAGAGATCCAATAATAAGACCTGAGCATTACATATGACCATACGCTATCTTTTTCAAATCATGTGAGAAATATAACTAAAGCAGCAAACCGTTTGTTAGGCTTTATACTAAGGCAGACATCAAAATTTATTAACTTAGATACTATAAAGTTTTTGTATTTTACTCTAGTCAGATCTAAGCTCGAATTCGGTTCAGAAATTTGGTTAGGAGAATATCAAACTACACTATTCGAAATAGAAAAAATTCAGAACAAATTTTTAGGGTATATGTATTATAAAAAATATCGAATTTATCCCGACTACAATATAGTAAGAACTCTCCAATTGAGAAATGAGTTCAAAGCGATCTCTCTGGATGAACGAAGAAATCTGAATATAATAGTATTTCTATACAAATCATTAAATCATAAAATCAATTCCCCTGAACTACTATCTAGAATCAGATTCAATGTGCCTGCAAGACGAACACGAAATATTCTTATGTTCAATGTAAAAATTATTATGTTATTTTGAAATATTTATTCATGTAATAAGGCCTTGTTTGGCTTGTTAGGATAATAAATGAATAAATGAATAGATATCGGGGTTTTCTGAGCCAGTTTCTTTTTTCAAATCTAATTTCAGCAGGAATGCTGCGATCGATTGGAAGCAAGAAGCAAGTGGCTATACACACAGTAAATCACTCGGCTCTAATAGATTTCCACGGCTGGCAAATTCCTATTTTTCCCAGACACTCCGGAAACAATTAGGTTTCGGTAGCAAGTGCACGCGTGCGCAAAATTCAATTTAGTCGGCGGCGGTCACATAATTCTTCTTCTTCTTTTATAGTGTTATTGTCGAATTCTGAGTGCTTTTGGCGCCCTTTCTGGCCAACGCTATTATCGAATGGATAACTTAGGTGTTTGCTTTTGTTAGCTCGTTCCAAGCAGGCGATCTTGCAATCGCAGAATCACAGTTCCTGAAACAGGTCCATTCTTATTTTAAATTTCCCACATCAAAAATAGTAGATTGTTTTATTAGGATCAAAAGTGACACTTTGTTTGATTGACAAGCGAATTTTGCATTTGCGAGGCGGAGCGTTTAGCGAAGCCGAGCGAAAGCAAAATTTGCGAGTTGAACAAAGTCACTTTTGATCCGAATGAAACATGCTATTTTTTCTGCAACCGAAACAATTAACTCAAATAAACATGTCAAGTAACCACCAATGCATGTATGCAATGCAACAAATATTGACAAATAATCCATGTGGTGCATGAGAATATTCTACCTGCATTAACAGCAGGTTAGGTTTTCTAGGATGTTCGAATTGTAGTTTCAATATAAATACAACCACAGAGTGACACATTTGTGTATGGACCATCAGGTGCTCTAATGGCAAATACCGCGCCAGTGCCAGCTATAGGAACAAGACGTGGAAAATGTTAGGTTAGTGAGCATATCAACAATGATAATAGTGATTATTTATTATTTATTCCTCTCCATACTACAATGTGTTTGACTTGATAATCAAATGAAGCTAAACAATATCGTTGTTTGAGACAAAAAAACTATTGCTTGCCGTGATTATTCAAAAACAAGTTATCCATCCCGAGAATAACGAATGAAATACAGATCACGCAAGTATTTGAATCTTGAAGGCTCCCCTGATCAAAACAAAAATACTCAACTGAGATGTTTATAATCAAAATACTAAACTATAATAAGGTGTATTTATATCTCCAGCATGGGTATGAAATGCCAAATCTGCTGAAATCGGAAACTAATCAGGTATGCGTCTCAACCCAAATAACCAACCGTCACAATGTTGTTTATTCTTGATGACGTCCAGTAGATCCTTTTTAGTTCCTAGGAGCTAAAGTTCAACTTTAGCTCCTAGGAACTAATATTCAACTTTAGCTCCTAGGAACTAAATATGTTGCCTAGCAACATACCTATTTTTGTGTCAGTAATAGAAACGTCAATTTAAGAGCTAATTATGGTATCAAAATGGACGACTTTTGTGTCGGTTGCAGAAAATAGTTATTTTTCAGCAACCGACACAAAAGTCGTCCATTTTAATACCAAAATTAGCTTTTAAATTGACGTTTCTATTATATTGACACATAAATAGGTATGTTGCTAGGCAACATATTTAGTTCCTAGAAGCTAATGTTGAACTGTGGGGAATTTTCCCACTCGTGTATATATTTGTATATTCAATTAACTTTCCTGTATACCATATTACATTTTATACTCTGTACATATTTCATCATCCGAAGTGTTGGGTTTTTCCCGATAAGGGTTTTTTCTACCTCTCTACGAATACTTATTGATTTGATGCATATTCACAACATTGATCTTTTATGACCATCTGGCTATAGGATGGTTATACCCCCTGGTTATACCCTAATTCGAGCCCTAATTATTATTCTCGGTAAAGCTTATAGAGACCTACCTTTCTAGCTCAATAAACAATTTATTATAATCAGTTATTTTTGAATCTTCAGAGTGAACAGTCACAAATCTCAATCTTATAGGTAATACAGTTGGCATTCGTATATACAGCACTTCGGATTTTCATTCTTTCTACAATATAGGATTCAACCATCAGAGTGTTTGGCATTGCCACAACTATCAAATATCCTCACAAAGAGACTTCAAAAAGGCGTACAGTTCTTCCTACAACTGATATACGCCAAAGAACTTTAGTTCCTAGGAGCTAACAGGTACTGGTACTGGTGGGGGACGTTTCCACGTCAGCAACTAGTCCCTAATGGGACCTTTTTGCAAACCCCAAGTGTTATTCAATGGCTGATGGTTCGCTCAAGAGAGCTGGCTAACATCCTTTTCAGGCACCACCCATCAGTTCTCTTTCAGAGTTTTTCGGCTGTGTTTTGTAGGCTAGCTCCTAGGAGCTAAAGTTGAACTTTGGTTCCTAGGAGCTAAAGTTGAACTTCAGCTGCAGGAACTAAAAAGGATGTACTAGACGTCATCAAGAATAAACAACATTGTTACGGTTGCTTATTTGGGTTGAGACGCATACCTGATTTGTTTTCGATTTCGGCAGATTTGGCATCTCATACTCATGCTGGAGATATAAATACTCCTTATTATAGTTAAGTATTGGAATTATAAACATCTCAGTCAAGTATTCTAGTTTTGATCACGAAAGCCTTCAAGATTAAAATACTTGCTTGATCTGTATTTCATTCGTTATTCTCGGGATAGATAACTTGTTTTTGAACAATCACGGCAAGCAATAGTTTTTTTTCTCAAACAACGATATTGATTACCTCTATTTGATTATCAAGTCAAACACAGTGTAGTATGGAGGGGAACAAGGTGTACTTTTACTGCCTAGGCAGAAAAAGTTTGTTGCCATGCAACGTTCCAAGCTTCCAAGTAATTTTGATCAAATTCGTGATCAAAATGACAATGACTTTGGGTGAACAAAGAATGATGGATTATTTGGACTTTGCGTGAAATTGAAAAGAATTTGGAGAAAAAAATATGTGTTTCACACAGAAAAGAAGATGTAATGCCTTGTCTGATGGTTTCCTAGCCTCGGCTACGCCTAGGCTATGAAACGCCAGCCGCGGCATTAAATCTTGTACTTTTCTGCCTAGTAAAACAAATAAATATTCATGATTCGTTCTTTTTCCTGTCACAAAAAAATATTGTAGTATACTTAAACACAGAAAAAATATTAGATTTAAGCTCAAACTCGAGGTGAAATCAAATACTATTTTCCCTTATTTAACTATTGTTCGTTCGATATTTGACTGCACTATAAAGTATACCATTGTGAATACGTTGATTGATTTGGGATATGCATTATCGATGAGATTAATAATTAGAACAATTATTTTCGATATTTACTCAGATTGTGTAAATGCTGCATGAGGTAACATCAAGATAATATGGGTGCTTCACAGAACAACGATAAATTGATGTATCTATTGATTTTCCTATATTTTTCTCCAATAGTTAACTGGAAGTAAATGCAGGAACCGGTCATGTTATTCAGTAAACATCACATAGTTTCTTCACTAGTTATATATTTTTATTTCATATCAATGAATGGGTGAGCAATATTATTTTTTAATGATAACATATTATTCAGTTAGCAGTTAAGAAAATTTAATACTGGTAATGATGAGCTATAGCTAACAGGTAGTTGCTGAAGGCTGTTCCTCAATGATGAATGATTTTTAATACTCTAGTTTTCATAACCATGCAATGACTCATTATAGGACCACAGGCAATTATCGTAGATTGGGAAATTATTGTTGATTGTTGATTTTCTTCAATGATTCAAAATGTGATTGAGGTCTTAGTATATACTCAACGGGGCACTAAAGTGGAATTATTAAGGTTTTTTTATAAGTTCTCTAAATGTAATATTGTGCACCGGGCTGGAACCAAGTTGTTGTCAAATGCTCCGTTAACCTTTTGGACACCCATATGCTATATATGCTGCTTATACTCAATTCTATGGTGAATTTTCAGAGTTACAGCAGGAAGTAAAGTATTTCCAGCAAATTTCATGTTTGGAGTAGGATCATCAGCATACCAAACTGAAGGCTCTAGGTCAGATGATGGCAAAGGCGATAACATTTGGGACAACTACATCTCGACCTCATCTGGAAACTCAACATACATCTCTAACGATTCGTATGAAAAATATAAGGAGGACGTCGCACTTATCGCCAAGATGAAACTAAAATTCTACAAGTTTTCTTTGTCATGGACTAGGTTAGTACTATGTAGGTACTTCAGTATCTAGATAGTTTATGGAATTCCATTTGGTTCATTATTTTCGTTGAATTGTATGAAACAACTTTATACAATTCGAAGCTCACATGATCTGTTTGAGAGAATGAATAAATTGATCTATTAATTTTGACTCTGAATTTACTGAAAGTCAGATCATTTTGATTCGTTTTTTATGCACGATATTATGCTTGAAATTAGGATCCTTCCAAGTGGCTTCAACGACTCCATAAACGAAATGGGTGTAAACTACTACAAAAATCTCATCCAAGAATTGGAAACCCACAATATCACGCCCATAGTTACGATTTACCATTGGGACCTGCCTCAATCGATACAGGTTAGTACGATGGTAGTATTTGAAGGTCCTTTAAAACATGTGGAAACAGTCTACATGAATTATAAAAAAGTATTTGTGAGGATCGACCTCTCTAGAACCACCTGATACAATTAAACATCTTGATTCTGTTTCCGAAGTTGAAACAATAGTGAATTTCGTTAAAGAATTCTTGCGGCTCATGCTGATCGAATCTAATAACTTCCATTTCACGACTTTTCTGATGCATTCTTAATAATAATAATAAAATAAAGCAGTCTGTACACTTTGGGTTCAATATCCCAAATAATTGTAATTGTCAAGTTGGCTGATGCTAGTACAATTTTGACGTTGGTTTTGATGAGTTAGTACTTTGTACCTGTATTTTGTGTTCTAACGTTATTCGTTGATAACAGTTATTGCTTACTCAATGACACACAAATCCGATAATGATGAACATGATTCAACTCAATACAATTTGTTGCAACGACATTTTTGTTTGAAATAATATTATGCTTTTTTCGGAATGGGCATTGTATAACATTTTTCAATTTGTTGTTTTAAATGTATTCCAAAGAACAAATTTTATGATAATTTTATGATAATTTTCTTACACACATTTCTCATGTTCTTTCGTTCTCAATTAGGTTGGGATCCAAAAATTAGGAGATTGAGAAATAGTTGATGATTTTATGGATTATAATTGGAATAGTACCATTTGAGATCACAAATATATTTTTTCTGCAAACGTCAAAAAATGACAAGGTTCGCGCATTGATAACAAATTGCGAAGTGACACTTTTTTTCAGTTTCCTACGTTACCACGACACAATGTGCGAAGCAGTGCGCGAAGTAAAACAGTGCGCGAAGTACCTACTTCGCGCATTGTTATGTAAAATATATGAGATATTTATATTTCAACTTCATGGTCCTCAATCGAACAAACATCCACGAAATCATTTATTTCTGAATGTTCAACAATAACTTTGTTTTCTTTCTTGGAGCGCACGAAAGGAAATTCCTATTATATTCATGGAACATCGTGCGTACCTAGGGAGGATAGGGGGAAGCCTTTTTAATCCAGTTCAACACTATTTTTGATATAAAGCTAAGCATATTTTTACTTCAGAACTATATTTTTTGACGTTTGTAGAAAAAATGTTGTTTGCAACTCGAGCGCGAAATACTTTGGTCATCTCGACTATTTTTTTAACTCGGCTACGCCTCGTTAAAAAATCGGATCTCGATCACCAAAATAGCATTTCGCGCTCTAGATACAAAAATAACTATTTTCTACAAACGTCAAAAAATGACAAGGTTCGCGCATTGATAACAAACTGCGAAGTGACACTTTTTTTCAGTTTCCTACGTTACCATGATACCTTGCACATAACAATGCGCGAAGTAAAACAGTGCGCGAAGTACCTACTTCGCGCATTGTTATGTAAAATTAATGAGATATTTATATTTCAACTTTATGGTCCTCAATCAAGCAAACACCCATGGAATCATTTATTTCTGAATGTTCAACAATAACTTTGTTTTATCTCTTGAAGCGCACGAAAGGAAATTCCTATTATGTTCGTGGAACATTGTGCGTACCTAGAGAGGATAGGGGGAGGCCTTTAAAGCCAGTTCAACACTATTTTTTATATCAAGCTAAGCATATTTTTACTTTAGAACTATATTTTTTGACGTTTGTAGAAAAAATGTTGTTTGCAACTCGAGCGCGAAATACTTTGGTCATCTCGACTATTTTTTTAACTCGGCTACGCCTCGTTAAAAAAATCAGATCTCGATCACCAAAGTAGCATTTCGCGCTCTAGATACAAAAATAACTATTTTTGAATTTTGTGCCACCACATGATTGAAACATCTATAGATTTGACTCGAGTTAATTGGTGAAAAAATTGTATGCGGAATAACCAAATACATTCAGACTCCATTATTTTTTCGTGCTGATTCTAAATTCGTGACTGAGACTCCAAAATATTGATATTCCGGGTGGTGCTTCGACTTGAAACCTACTTTGATTTTTCGAAGCCGGCCCTGGGAAGAATCTTTATTTTATTATATCAATCGTCACCACTGTGAACGATGAAGACACAAACCAAATATCAGAAAAATTTATAGGGTGGTTCATAAGTTATGATTGATTGAAAAAATAGGGGAAGTTGATAAATTATCCCGTATCTTAGTTATAAAGAGTGTTAGACTTATGGAATGTGGATTATTCAGAAGTACCTCGTTTTCCTCCATCTAACCTTACTGTATGCGCATTTCCCAATGAGTCACCCTGTATAATATTGTCAAGAAGTACAAAATGTCTATGATTTAACATCACTCAAACTCCCGTTCATTTCAAGACCTTTTACTATAAATTAACTTTTCCAAATTAAAACATTCAGAACATTGTAGTTTCTATCAGGTCAGTGGAGTTCATAGACGTCGTTTCCTTTATAATTTGCAAAGAAAACGCTTATCCGGCGATAATACCTATAGGTAAGCGGTATCGAAAGGTAACGACCATTCCCATTGCGGAAAATTGCGAATCTAGCATCGATTTCAAATATAAATAGTACTTGAGTCGATAAGGCAATCATTCATTATCAACCCAAGGCATTATAAGTAGAGTAGCTAAGTCACGACCTATAGGAGGGTTAACATCTGAGTTGCGACACGTGGTGGAGGCGCAGTTTCTTCTCGATAATGCCATATAACCTACTAGAACCATCCGAGTTGCGACAATATATACGACTCATCTGAGTTTTCCTTCTTGATTCCATAGAAACTTGGTGGTTGGACTAACACGTCGAATATCCAGTTCTTCGTGGACTATGCCAGAGTGGTTTTCCAGAGTTTTGGCACTGTCAAGTACTGGCTGACGATGCACGAGCCGAAACAGATATGTAGAGGGGGGTATGGGGATGGAAGTCTCGCCCCATTCATCTCAGAAAGTGGGGTGCTGGATTACCAATGTGCTTATGTTGTTTTGAAAGCACATGCTGCTGTCTACAGGATGTATCGTACCGAGTTTCCAAATGCTGGAGGTGAGTTCTGAATTTGGGAAAGTTTCATGAAGTTCATTATATACAGAGTGAGCCAGAAGTTGCTGACTCATTAAGAAAAATATATGGAGAGACTCTATTCAATTCATGATGATAAAGATGGAGAGCCCTAATTTCAAATGACAATGGAAAATGAAAAAACTCCACCACATCGTGTGAGAGTCGAACTCACAACCTCTGGGTTACAATCGGCAGGGAGGTCGAGTTATCATGACACACGGCGGTAGAATCCATCCAATTCCCGACGTCACTGGAAATCATGCACTATACGAAGCATCGCTGGCAGTCTCCATATTGCCCCGTTCGTCCACTGGCATTGTCTTTCCTTGAATACGGAAATGTTCGAAGGTAATCTGGAAACCCCTAATTTCGAGTGTCAATGAGAAATCTTTCCATCTTCATCATTATATGTAGGTATTTTTCCGTCTGAGTAAGCGACAAAAATTATGACTTGATTCCTATCTAGATTGGCTTCGGACATTTCCGAATACAAGGAAAGATAGTGCCAGAGGATGAACGGGGAAATATAGAGACTGTATAGTACCATCCTGCTAGCGATGCTTCGTATAGTGCATGATTTCGAGTGACTTCAGGAATTGGAAGGATTCTGCCGCTTGGTGCGTGTGATGAGAACTCGACCTTCCTGCCGATTGATAGACGGATGTCCCGTTAGCTCAATTGGCAGAATGTTGGGCATGTAACCCAGAACCCAGAGGTTGTGAGTTCGACTCTCACACGGGACGGTGTAGTTTTTTTCATTTTCCATTGTCACTCAGAATTAGGGCTGTCCACCTGCATCATTATATGTATCTGTTCGGTTGAGTAACCGACAAAAATTATGACTTGACTCAATTTAATTCAGCCAACCAAAGTCGTCCTTTTCTGCTATGAACATAATCATTCGATTGTTAATACACAAGAAACGTTTCGAAATGCCCAATCTCCTGAGACTATACGCAGCATTGTTAGGCGTTTTCATACCCAGGGTTCTGTATCGGATCCTTCCAGAACTGGACGACCACGATCAAAACGCCGAATAATGCTGCGGTTATTCCCAGGGGAGGGGGCGTTTGGATACGCTCTTTGAGTATTTACAATAGAATGATAATGTTTATAGAAAAATTGTTTGACTTTGGTTCGCTGGATCAAATTGAGTCCCTCTATATTGAAACATCCAGAGTTCTTTTTTATAAATCTGAGAAAAAAATCAAATATGTAAAATAGGGAAGCACTTATGAATTTTTGAAAAGTCAGGAACTTTGGGCCCACCCTGTACTTGAATTATATTTAGATGAAATCATGAAAAAAACTCCCACGACTTGAAATATCCTTGAATAATCCACTTGTTATCATATCCAGATATATTTAGCACGTATGACGTTGAAATATTGATTTTTTACTATTATTACTATTTCGGCGTGAACATGATAGTTTATTAATAGTTATTTCTGCAATACCATGATGATCACTTATCTTTTTTTACAGGAAAAATGTCTATTGCTTTGGATGGCTCTTGGTCAGTACCTGCGAGGAACACCAGTACTGATCAGACAGCTGTCAATAGAAGACACCAATTCGAGGTATAGTCCAATAACTAATGAATCAAAAGAGGTGGGGTAGTAGAGGGGGTGATTTCTAAATTAACTAGCATAGAAAGTCAAATGTTGTTATCACGTCCAATTGAAAGGAGTTTCGAGATCTCTCGATATCGCCTACCTTGTAAAAATAGCGAGGCGTGGGAGAATCTTGCTAAATATCCGAAGTTTCAAACCAAATTAACCAAATCATGGCACATTCATTTGAGTTCACATTTTCATTTTTACAATTTTCTGTGTAAATGGAAATGGTGCGTTTTTTTTCGACTTTCAGTGGTAAATTCATAAACGACACTAAGTCCTAACTCATGAAAATTTTTTGATAATAGTGTTAGGTATTTTTTGATATTTTGAGAGCTGATGTCACTTTTGAGATATTATTTATGAATTCGGTTTGTCAATCATCGAAAGGTTGAATTTGTGCGTGAGAGGGATATTTTATGTATTTTGGTCATGTTAATAAATACTGCCGTGGTTCAAAGGGGTATTTTCTATCACTTCAGAAGTGGGATGATTTGGCGAATTTTAAATTTTAATTAAAAACGGCCTAGGGATGCTTGCAGCAGTAATGCGATGAATGCATGAAACGGAACACGCCTATAGCATCGTCCACCAATAGGTGGACGATGCCTATATAGTGTCAGAAAGGGTCGAGTGTTAGGTATTTCATTCAATATCATCTACAACATCCCGTATTTTGATTTTGAGAGCTGATGTCACTTTTGAGATATATTCAATCTTTATTTCAATCTTTGCTATAAACATTACATTGCATCTCATATGAATATAAATATAATCATTAACATTTACAATGGAATAACATGAATAATCAGACAGATTCATATCTGGTATGAGATTATTCATGCGTTATCAACTTAAATTATAGTTATTGAAATAAACAACAGAATATGAAAAAAAAAATAAATAAAACAAAAAGCTCATGAAAAGTACATTATGACATGATGAAATAAATTAGTCAATGAGAAATCATTCACTCAGGTTTGATTTTCTCTTTGCAAAAGGATATGTTTCTTGACTTTGATTTTGAATTGGGCGATATTTGTGCAACTTTTGATATCATCAGGTGATAGGTAATTTATTGAATTTTGAGATATTATTTATGAATTCGGTTTGTCAATCATCGAAAGGTTGAATCTGTGCGTGAGAGGGATATTTTATGTATTTTGGTCATATTGATTAATCCTGCCGTGGTTAAAAGGGGTATTTTCTATCAATAGTTTAATCACTCTCTTTTGGTACATAAAATAAAATAAATGTTCGGATTTTCAAATAATCCTCACACATCGAGGCATGGACAGTCCATGATGAAAGCACAATACACTCACTCAACTACCTAATATACTATCAATACCTGCTTAACGTTCTTATAAATGATCATTCATTAGAATTTGAAATATTTTTATTTGAAATTTGAACAAAATCATGAGTATGCCGAAATCGTGACAGATATGTCGGATCACGATCAACGGATCAAGATCACGATCAGGATGTTTCCGCACGGATATTTGTTGCGCCCTGTCTCTTTAGCTTGCTGTCTCTCGATGCTTCTATTTAGCTATTATTGAATTCGTGCATCATCAGCGGGACTCTTCGAGTCTCGAAAGAAGGAAAACATCCTTGAAAGTCTAGTTCAACTTCATAATCAGAATCGAAACAAATTTTGAAATTTGCCAAGAAATTGTCCCACGACATTGTTCATACCGAGAGTTAGTCTGACGGAACAATTGAAGAGTGGGCACACCAGAGCAATTATGAACATCTCAAAACTAATCGTATAGGTATGTTGTTATCCAATTATTGTTGATAGTTGAAAAGTTACTAATTTCTTTCATTTCTATTGGAAAAATCAATAACAATAAAATTATGTCACATTTGTGATATTTTCTTGTACGACTTTCATCCGCATGGATGCATCTTTCCCCAGAATTGAATTTATGACCTTTATTACTTCGTAAATCTATGCTTCGTATCAATGGGTTTCAGTTGATTGTTAAATGTCGCTGGCAGACTCAAAAACTACCCCACAAAGATGAATAATTATGAGAAAAACTTCATGTACTTTACATAACATGTTCATTCTTTCTTGCAGTTTGGTTTTTATGCAAATCCCATTTTCGTTAATGGAGACTGGCCTAATACAGTGAAACAGATTGTTAATCCAGGTAATAAAGGGGATTCTCGCCTTCCAACTTTCACTAAGGAAGAACTTGCCCAAATCAGAGGTTCAGCTGACTTTTTGGCTCTGAATTACTATGAAGCTCGCATGGTACAATATGTTCGCTCAAAGTCAAATGGCAGCATTCCTAGCTACGAGCAAGATATGCGAATGAATATCTCGAAAAATTCCACATGGGCTGAAGGTGCCAACGGATTCACGGTAAGAATCAAAAATCTCCCCATCCTTCTTCATGTGTGAACTGATTATTGACATCACAAGGGATCCTTCAGACGGTAGGTATGTGTTATGTGTAGTTAATACTAGCTCCATGAGCAGCTTTGGCAGCGGCACTATGTTAAGTTGAAAGCAACTTTGAATAGTAGAGTAGGAGCTAGGAGCCGAGCTTACTCGATTTGTGAGTTGAAAACCATTCTGTAATGACTAAGGATTGAGTATAGTACCTGAGGGTCAATTGGCCAAGCGCAATATCAGATTGAGGCTGAAGACACAACAATTTTTCCAACCTTCTTCATGTGTGAACTGATTATTGACATCACAAGGGGTCCTTCACACGATAGGTAGGTGTTATGTGTAGTTATAATACTAGCTCCATGAGCAGCTTTGGCAACGGCACTGTTAAGTTGAAAGCAACTTTGAATAGTAGAGTAGGAGCTAGAGGCCGAGCTGAGAAATGTTGGGATACTTACTCGATTTGTGAGTTGGAAACCCTTCTTTGATGACTGAGGATTGAGTATAGTACCTTAGGGTAAATTGACCAAGCGGAATATCAAATTAAGGCTGAAGAACTTCGGTCAATGGCCTTTTAGGGAATCATGTGTATAGATTGGGACATGTATTATTATGTTCCATATCATTAATGATAAGCCAATGTTTGGCTTCATTAGGTCAAATCGGATGAATGAAAAAGAATACTAGGCCAGCCTGGCAGTTCCTTTCAGAGTGATGATTATATTAATAAGAAATTCTAGGAAAATGCTTGTGTTTTAGATTTTATGTATCTGATGCAGATTATCTGAAAGCACTATCAACTTTGATAGTTCGAACAAAATAGCATATAGCTTCGAGAATTCTGATTCTACGGAATTTTCAAAATTCAAGACTAGCAGAAGATAAATACCGTCCATTTTCTAGAAGATTAGTATTATATTATTGTATCAAACGTCAATTTCAAATTCTTCTATTGAAGTGAAATTTTGCTTTGGAAAATACCTAACGAGGAGATTTCCACTTTATTCTGATATGACCTTTTTTCTAATACGATGAACTAAGATTAAACCTTGTGCTGTCTTATACCAAAAGTGCTTTGAAAATTGTCGGCGACAATCAATAACATATGAGAATTGAATCATTCATAACTCTATTAGTCATATGAAGTTGTAAACGGTACAACAGACAGATCGTATAATGACGTAGCTACAATATTTTTCTGAATACAAATTACGGAATATATATATTTAAAAATTTTACCTCTTTCGAAAGGAATCATTTCTTCAATGAAAAGAAAGTAATGTTTCATGAGAAATTTGACCTGCGTTTCAAATAAGTTGAAGGGCTATAGGTAGCCCCGTGATAAAAGCGTAAGTATTCTAATCACAATTGCTTGCCGGTCGTGGGACAGACATTTTTCTGATGACTCAAGAAAGTGTTTGGGATCACAAGTTCAAAGATAAGTCCCTCTTCATTCCTTGGTCGCATTAGTCTGTTAAAGTATTCTGAGGGTTGCTCGTAAGGGGGCAACCGAATGATGGGTAGAACAATTTTGGACCAATTTTAGAACACAAAGAGAGATATACTGAAAGTCATTGCCACAATAGTTCATAAAATTAACGAAAATGGTAGATAACGAGGGGAAAACAACTTTTCATGGATTTCGGGAGGATGTAATCCAATGTTCTGCGTGACATATCGCCAGGAAAGTAAATGTTTTCTCTCGTTATCTACCATTTTCGTTCATTTTATGAACTATTTTGGTAATTACTCTGAGATTCGCTCTCTTTGTGACCATTGCATTCTACTTTGAGTATTTGGCTTTTTGCTAGTTGATAATACACCAGTTGGACAACCAGCCACTTCCATTTCACCTGAAATGGGAGCTTGTTCCGGAGCGTTTCTTTCCTTGATTCCTTGCCAGGTGGCGTTTGGCGTTCGTGTACATTTCGCGGACGTTGATCTCCTCGTTGGGTATAAATGCTGGGATGCGTTTACGTTGGGTGAGGTTGTGATTTTATTCGGCTATACGAATCATTGCATAGATTCCGGGAGAATGTAATCAATTGTTCTTTGTGGCATAAAGCCAAAAAAGTTGTTGTTTGTCTCTCATTCTCGAACATATTCGTTTATTTTATGAACTATTGTGGTATTGACTTTGTTTCTTTCTCTTTGTGACCATTGCATTCCACTTTTTCAAAACATTGAGAATTGGAACCCAGTTTCTGAAGGTTCAAGTTTTGAATTTGTTGAGCCAAAAATAAGGGGTACTATAAACATCAAATACTCGGTGCCATTCTGTGGCTGAGCTCTAGATAATGACGTTGAATGATATATGGCTTTAGTGAAGTTTTCATCAGCCTCTCTTCATCTAGACATGATGCTAATTGAAAAATAGCATCAATTATAATAAAAGGCGTTGAACGACTAGAAAATGTTGTTTTATTTTTGAACATTTGGAATCGCCACTTTGAAGTTTGAAGTGACGATTGTCAATTTGGACTGACAATTTTCACTTTGAACTGAAATAACAAAGGATATATTATCAGCATTTATCATGCATTTCATGGAAAACATTTTTTTCATCTATTGAAGCGCTCAAAAGGGAATCCTTATAATGTTTGAAGAACATCGTGCTTAGGTACCTAGGGAGGATAGGGAGAGGAATTAGATAATGTAATTGTTTTTTGATCTGGGAATTATAATACTTCCTCCGGCACAGAATTTCAAAGCTTTGCTGTTCTATAGATGAACGATCAAGTTTTGATTAAGTGTTATCTCGAACCTAACAAATGGCTGTGCATCAAATGAAGAATATTATGTTCCATTTATTGTTGAAAATTTGTGATTCCTCTCTTTGAATCAGAATATTTTCAGATTGTACCTTGGAGTATTAGAAGTTTCCTCAATTGGACAAAAAGAGAATATAGAAATCCTGAAATTATCATAACTGGCAATGGTGTAGCAGATGATGGTTCTCTACAGGACACTTTGAGGATCAACTATATGGCGGCAAGTGCTAACAACTAATACATCTACTCGAATAATCTAATAGAGTGGTAATATTTCAGGACTACCTATCAAATATTTTGGATGCCATCCATATTGATAAAGTTAATGTCACTGGCTACATCTTCTGGAGCTTATTGGATAGCTTCGAATGGACAAATGGATACAAGTAAGATGATCCCTTCTCGATGAACTTTTTACGAAACTAATCTTTTTTCAGCATACATTTCGGTTTATACAGTGTCGACCGGAATTCGACTGAAAGAACTAGAATAGCAAAAGACTCTTCTGAGTTTTATCGAAGAATTGCTACAGAATATAAAATTCCTGTTACAACAGATACAACAACGTTTTCTACTATATCTACAACTGGATCTATAGATGATGACAGTTCAAATTCAGATTCTGATAGAACTGACAAAACAACTACAACTAAATTGTCTACGAGTACTGATGCTGGAACTACACCAACCTTTACCGAACCCACTACTCATTCTTCTGATATTGTATCTACTAAATCAACAACTTCTTCTCTAGTTGTTACAACAACTACATTTTCTGGGAGTAGTACTGTAATATTATGTTCGTTTATTCTGTTGGCAGTATCCATAATGTTATCATTATTTTACTCGAATGGATTTCACATGATATATTCATTGTCGAAGGGTTCTGAGAAAATAGTATGAGACTATGAATACTTTGTTGTAGATTAGTTTTGAATGAAGCATCTTTTTATTTTGCCTTCTTGTGGTTTGACATTGTTTTCATGCGAAATTGTGTCAATATAACTGCAACAACATAACATTATCTTCTTAGTCATTTTTATTCTATCCGTACCATTTTGTAGTGCAGCACCCAAACATACCCTGAAACTCTTGGATTCTGCCCAAAAAAGGGCAATTCGTCTCGTGGGTGATGCCTCGCTCACAAACTCACTCACTTCTCTGGGACACCGTAGAAAAGTTGACGATCTGGCTTTATTTCATAGATTTTTTCATAGACGATGCTCTCCTGAAATATCAATATTTGTTCCTCCCTTGGCAGTCCCCGCGAGATTAACCCGTCGAGTTGAGGCTTCGCACCCCTTCGTGGTCACTTTGGAGACCTGCAGAACATCTCTTTCCAAAGACGCGTTAATCCAACGAACAGCGAGGCTCTGGAACACATTGCCAAGGGAGGTGTTCTCCGAGGCATATAACCTTCAAAAATTTGAAAAGAACACCAATTCCTACCTTATTTCCCTTGGTTCTCACGATGTTCTCTGAACATTGCAGGATATCCCTTTTCGTGGGAACCAGAACATAAAAAAAACCTGAAATACTGTTCACCTGATTCGATTTATATATCATGAAAAAGCTGGAGAGATTGTATAAATTCGACCTAGCACTTGTAACCCCAGTTTGTCAAATGAGGAATAGGGAAAGAGAAGAACAGCAGAAAACTGTTCAGTACTCTGCTTTGGTAAATTGATAAATGGTATTTGTTACATTTACTGCAGCAGATGATGTTTCGCATGCAATGGAACGTAATATAGTGAACGTTGTAATCTTAACTGATAAGTCAGACAACGACAAATGCTAACTCATCACATAACATTTTCATGCTGATATATTCACGCTCTTCCACAAACTTAGATCAGTGTGAGTCGCGTCACGTTTGGATATTCGCAAACAGGGACATGTTTCCCTTTCATTTGCTTCTTGTTTTAGCTGGTTATCACATGTCGGAAGTATGTCCGGAATAATAATAATAATTTTTCAATCATTTTGCTAAAGATAGTGATTGGCACAGGTGCCGTTCTATGAACTACAACATTGTAATTGGGACATATATCATTCTGTTATCAGATAACGATAGAAATCTGCAGCCGGCTACTATGATAATAATCATCTATTGTTTCATACCAAAAATAACTTTTCATTTCTCGATATAATTATATCTACAGATAATAATTAACACATAATTATGTAACATTCCATTTTTCAATAAATAGTAATTCTCAACTTGTACCTTTGTTCATAATGTTTTCATGCATCTCATGGTACAGTCGATATGAATACATGAAGGATACAATGAAGCTAGCTGAAAAAAATAATTAACAATGATCATGGAACAAATGATAAAGAATGCTTTTCTGAGAACTCTTACCCAATAGTAATAAGAATAATGGAAGATAAGACCAGAACATGAAATTAAATCCAATAAGTTTCATGAATGGAGAACCAAGAATAATGTACATTATCATCAAAATTACTTCAAATCCTTGTATGGTTACGTACATAAGTATCAAAGATGGCATTTCCTAAAAGGAAGTAGATAGGAATCAGGAAATACAATGTCATTTACACAGTGCTCGATAATATTCAGATATCAGTCAGAGGAACACGTTTCAAGCATTCAACTCTCCATCATCAGCCATAATCCTAATAAATCCACAATACAAATAAATCATTCATCATTGCAATAACTTGGAATGTACATAATATGTGCCTATCAGAACATGTATTAGTCTCAGTCCGGAAGCCAGTGATCTTTATTTGTCACATTTGATAACGAATAATTCAACTTGCTAAATATTATTTTTATACATATCAATATTTTTATAATGTTTCTGTAAAATCATTTATGGAAAAAATAGAGAAAATCGACGAAATATTTTCTTTTGAGATGCCTTCAGAGTCGTTGTATCTCTACTGTGAATCACAATTTTTTTTCATGGCAGGAGTAGGTACATCGTTCTACGATACAAGTGGCGGGGGTGATTTTTTTTTCTAAGGATTTGTCATTTACAAAATTTTTTTAACATCGATTCAAGCTGTTGGTATAAGCGTTTTCCCCCGATTAGGGTGGCAGGAATGGATTTTGTTGATAGACTTTATCATAAGAGATGACGTTTTGTTAGAGATGATGATTCTGATGACAACACTGATGATGAAAGACACATATTGACTATACTTGACCTAATTATATCTTTATTAATAATAATCTCTGATGATGGTGATGATTTTCTGTATTCTGATATTGATCATTCTAGAACACGTGATTTTGACATGGTTTCTTGAGGGGCACACAAACTATCTGTTAGAGGTTACCTTTGATTAGCATAGCCCTGGTCATCCCTACCACATTTACAATATAATAACAGTTTCACCAAACACAATTATGGAATTCTTTCTAGTTCCAACTCGGATTCCAACGAAAACGATCCCACTTATTCTGGTTTTATATGACATATCTTGACAAAATACAATGTTTGCCCCTCAGCAACCTGTCAAATGACGTAATTCTGGAATGATTTATTGTCATCATTCCGCCTACTGGACTTTCACATAGATTGGAGGTAGATGTCAGATAGTATCATCTGTTCATTATACACTAACCAAATGAAATGCTCGTGGAATACGAATCACGAGAGCCTAAAGTTTTCGAACCATTCCCGCACCATATTTTTCAGAATGGTCACAGTGAAGCACCTGATACTTTATGGGCGCATGCGCTTCTGCTCGCAGAAAAACCATGTTATTGGTGGACCAGAAAAAAACTTCTTGACCAAACTCAGCCTCCACAGTTCCATTGCGAAATATAATCATAAAAAAATCAAAAATCCCAACATATCACGTGATGGAAATGGTTAGAAAGATTTAGACACATCTTACAATCCAGTTTATCGAATAATTTTAATGCGTAGAATTCTTTACTTACTTTCACTTTACCAACAAGGAATAGAATGTTGATACAAAGCGCAAAAAAGCAATATGCTGCCAACATCATCAAGAACATGTAGCCAAGAACATTTGGTCTGTCATCTAGTACAATCACTTGAAGTAATATTGCCAATGTAAACAGTACTACTCTCCAAAACTGAAAAATGAGATTATTATACATACAGGGTGAAGACCTTAACGGGAATAAACTCGGTAGCGGGGAGGTGATCGGGTGAATGCATTTTCTGAAAATTCGCGAGATACTTCAACGTTTTTACCTACATTTCGCGAGAAATATGTATAAAAAAATAACCCTTCAGGGGTAGCTGAAATCGACCCCAATACTTTCTCATCAGATGCAACCCTTTAGTTTGTAGTACGTTTGAGGGTTGCATTAAATCAAAACATAATTTCAAAGTTCAATAATATTCAACGTATTTCCACTAGTAAATGGTACTACTAGTGGTTAAATTGAAATTCGGTATGAAAATCTCACACCAGATTGTATTCGGAAATTAAGTACCTAATTATACAGAATAATCATATCTATATTTTCTGGAGTAGCCCAAACTCGAAGTGGAGGGGGATGATCAAAGAGAGAAAAAAACTCGAAGTCGTCTCCACAAGCTTACTGGTGAAGTTTGCAGACAATTATGCTTCGATTCATTGATACATGTTTCGACCATTCAAATGGTCATCATCAGTCATAGTACTAACAAAGTCAATGTGGAAGAAGCTATATATCATCATGAAGACGAGAAAAATGTTATATATTGAAGGAACATAATTAATTAAGATTTGGAAAAAGTATATACGGCCTTGTTTTAGGAGAAAGGCAGAGCCAATCACACCAAGAATTAGAAATAATCGGCATCTGGGACCGAGACAGATCACCTGGGTCTCAGATGCCGATGTTGTCAACTTTTTGATATGATTGGCTCTGCCTTTCTTCTATCACACGGCCCTGTATACTTTTTCCAAATCTAAATTGATCATGTTCTTTTAATATATAAAATTTGTTTCGTCTTCATGATGATATAGCCACTTCCACATTGACTTTGTTAGTACTATGACTGATGATGGCCATTTGAATGGTCGAAACATGTGTCAATGAAAAGTAATGAAGCAGAATTGACTGCACACTTCACCAGTGAACTTGTGGAGACGACTTAGAGTTTTTTCTCTCATTTTTCTCTTATCTTTCAGAATGTAACATATTATATTAGTTCATTTTATATCAACTTCGGGTTACCGCAAGTGGGGTGCTGCATACATATCTACTCTTTCTTCCCCTAACAGTCCTTATTCGTTCTCAACATCCGTGGCAAAATTGATATAACACCCTATATCTAGGATATAAGATATATATGTGAGACCCTATAAAATATGGTATATTCAGAACCACCTTGATGAGCTCTACCCACCGTTGAAGTTTTTCCGTTTCCCAATGGGACACCCTGTATATTCTATTCTGAAAATTCATATTTGATTTCAGAGAGAAAACCTATCTCTTTTGTTATATAATATAAAATCACTTGACATAAAGTCATGACTTCACACTTTTTCCAAACTTAATCTGAATGGACAATGGATTTTCTTGTATTACATGGTATAACTATACCTCAAAACAAATTTGGTGATCATTAGCAATCATTTATCTTATGTTTTGGTGTGAATAATTAAGAGCGATATTTACCCAAAACATTTGAAATTATTCCGTTTGTCCAAAGATGTTGGTCTTATTGTGCTCCAGTAAACATTGTGGTCTACCGTTTCCTATACCAATTAAATTGTAAGGAACATCACAAACGATATGATTTCAGGAATTCCACGATGAAATTGTACAAATATTTCACTTGAAGAAGATACTGTGTCAGCGAAACATGTTTTGTGTTAAGAATTTTAGTAAAATCTAATTGCTAGTGACATATTTTACGTTCACTATGGATTCAATAGAAGAATAGAGTCAATAGAAGAAGAAA